AAATAAAGTAGGCTAATGCATGAGGCTGTGTAATATTGTAAAAGGCTTAGCAACAGCTTTAGGAACTAAAACATACATCTGTTTGCTTGGATCAAAATGAACTAAACTGAATATGTTCCCAATTCTATTTTTTGTCTAAATGATGACCATAATGAGATCAGATTTACTGAATAAAACAATGCCCATTAATGTAAGTGCAATAAACAGGCTAACTCACCTCATTGTAATCAGGTTAAAAGTCATACTCACTGAAGTTATGAATCTTCATATTACTAAACTCTTATGATCCGGACCCCCACAAGGCCTTCTTGATTTTAAAGGATGTAAGAAAACTTTAAATATAAACACAGTTGGCCATTATCTCAGTTTTTTTGTTCATTAATGCAAGGAAAATTAAATGAAATTGTTATTTTTAAAGTTGATATTATTATTATTTAATATCTAAACTTTGAAGATGTATATTGAGTGTCAGTCAGTGTAAAGGAAACACATTGTACATGTGAACTATGTAGTACTGAATTGTGGAGTTGGGCTGTTAAACTCTGCTACTAAGTATGTACGATTGTTAAAAATAAAATAAATAAAAAATACATAATACACAGAGAGAATTGTATAAAAAGTTCTTAAAACATCAAGAAAACTCATCTCTGATGCAATTTTCACAGCAAATCTGCTAGAATCTCCTCCACATCATCATCATTTTACACAGAAATCCTGCAGTTATTGTGTTCACCATTTGGGTTAATTGTACAGTGTATCAGTTGTTCTGTACTGTTACTGTTATGCATTGAGTATAATATGAAATATCCATAAAATACATCACTTAGTCAGGGGTTGTCAGTATGCTCAATGATAGAAAAGGTGTCCTTTAAGGAAAGAGGTTGGAAACCATTGATCTAGATGAGTGCACTTGTTAAACAGTTTTTACCCTTTTCTCCCTTCATTTGCCTGCAACGGAGCCTCCCTGAGGTTTCTTAAACTTTGGTGTCACCTTGAGATCCTGCACTATTAAACAGCCCCACTGTCAACAATCAATAAATTTGGCTGGCCCTCTATCCCTCTTTTGTCTCTGCAAATGAAGGTGATGGATGAAAAAGAGCCCCGGTGCCCTCTGCCAGGTAATGTGCTGTGAACGGCCGTGTCAATATCTTCAGGGTTAACAGGATAGAGGGAGGGAAGAGCGATGCATTTAGAGCGGGACACAGGAGCAGGGTCAACTCTTAGGACAACTTAATATTTAATCAACCCACCTCACCGGTAACCCTAAACCCCACAATCCCCTCTGGTCGTGCAAGGAGACATGTGGGAGAGGGTGGGGGGGGGGAGGACGGAGAAAGGCGAGGGGGGAGCAGCGAGACGACACTTTATCTTTCAAATGGTCTTGTGCTTTGACTGAGTGCGAATTAAGTGAGAGAGAGAGATGGAAAAGAGAGAAAGAAAAGATGAGACGGGGGACAATTGCTGGGTGACAACGACTGTGAGCGCTAGACAGAGACAGACAGATAAAAGAAAAATGGAAGATGGTGTATAACGGCATTAAAGTCTTCTTCATCATACAGATTGGAGCTGCGTCGCCGGGCTCTTCCAGGCAAGGTTAAAGAAAGTGATAAGTGCATCATGATGTTGAATGATGACATGATGAATACAGGTGGGACAGGGAGCAGAGACATTACAGTGTCGGGTCAGAAACACATTCATAAAGGTCCTCACTGATGATGCAAGAGGCCCCGGCTTAAGAGCTTCTATCATTTCCATCCTATCATTATGAAACAAATAGCTTCAGTCTTCAGTATTTGAGTCAAGTTTAAAGATTTTATACACAAAAAAACAGGTAATTTATATATTAATAATTATAAATAATATTTCTTAACTTCTGTCCTTCAACTACATTACAAGTAATTTAAATAGAAAGACTAAAAATATGTGTTGAGGACCTCAAGTGTCATGGTAATAGTTATAAAGCATTCCATTAATTGATCTCTAATCAGATAAAAAACGAACTGATAAAATATTTTACAAATGAATGAATTAGGAAGAATTGTTTTTATAAAACAATGAATTTTAATAATGGAAATTCAAAATCTATTAAAAAACGCAGTTTTAAAAGAGATATAAAGAGCATTTATGTGACACTTTGGCCCTGGAGTTTACCAGCCACGGATCAGCATGGATTGTCAGTTAGATGAACATTATTTACCTGCCTCCATTTACGAGACACAACAGAGCTTTTAATGTGAAAACCATGAGCCACAAACAGATGGGGGGCTTCCAGCGAACACTGATTTGCGCTGCTTTACTAGTGTCACATAAATGCTCAATGAAAAGGCCAAAGGGGAAGGAAGTTAACCTTTCCTTTTGATATAAACCCGAAATCTTAATTCAGTTTGTGAATTCAGTCATGTGTTCCTCTTTTAAAACTGTTGTATTCATTAATCAGCGTATTTATTGGAGGTTTTATGTTTTCTTTTATCGATGGATTACTATATTAATACACAAGTAGCCCCTACAGCCTTAGAGTGTTGGAAAGAATCATATGGATTATTTATTTCGGTGTTTTGGACTAAAAATGTCTGTTTGAATCAAAGCAGTTTATCAGTTTGCGTACATTTAAATGCTCATCAAATGTCATGGCAATTTTCCAGTTAAAAAAATGTAATATCTATGAATGTATTTTGTACATTTCCTGCCAATCTGCCCATTAGATTTTGATATTTCTTGTGCACAAGTGAAGGTTTTAGCTTGAGTGTGGCACAAGCAGAAAGGTCAGCGGGTCACTAAAATCATTAGTATTCTGCCTCTGGGGACCACAAATAACCATATGAGATTTCATGGCAATCTGGCCAGTAGTTGTTGAAATATCGACTCTAGACCAAATATTGGACAACTGTCAGTGTCCTTAAGACCATTTCATATCATCCCAAAAAACAAATGTTTAATCTGTAATCTGAATAGTTGCAGTTTTTCACCGCATGAACCTTTCACACCGAGGCTGAAAATACAGTATATGAAACCTGTGAACATACTGTGCCTCCTCCTGTACTCTGTAAGTGGGAGGAGGATGTATGAAGCCTTCATATATGTCTATTTTATATTCCCTCCTGCCTTTACAGCCTTTACACATGATCAAGATCTCACATAAGAATCGTCAAATTGTGTTATTTCAATCCATTATGGTCCCAGTCTACTCAAAAATTTGTTTCTCTTAGTGTTTCTTCACTTGGATGTTTGAGCTTCATTGTGCAGGATGATGTATGTGCAGAGTTTGACACTAATAGACTTATTAGTGTCCTAAAACCTGTCTGGTATGAAAGGATGCTATTGACTATATATAAGATATCTGACTATTATTGACAAACCAATGTCTCTGCTTCTTATTTTCATCTAAATTACTGTAAATCCCGGCCTCTTTGTTTCATATTTCAACACGGCTTCAGCACACTGTATTTAAAGGATATATTATAGACTAGCATGAAGCTGGTGTGCCTTAAATCATGACCAAGCCACAATTTGTTGATGTGATGAATGATAAATGCACTGCACTCGTGTGTACCAAAATTGTCTAATTTGCTATCTGTATCAGCTTTGTACATTGTTCAATTGTGTGTGTTTACTGGTATATATATTATGTCGAGGACAGGATGGGCTCAGCCAATCAGTGTCACTGTTGTTTTCTTAATGAACCTTGCACAACTGGTTTCAGTAGATTTGTGGAACAGTATGAAGCAGCACACAGAGCCTCATCAGGCACTGGTCTTGCTGTAGTTACTGTTGAGAGCCCAGTGGAGGGTGAGCGATGAGCGTCCAGCCAGCCGTGGCCACCGCTTGGCGCTCTCCACTGCAGCTGTTGACTGCTGCCTATCAGCCCGCCTGTGGGCTAAGGGTTGCTTTCCCACCGAGCCGGCTGGGCGCCACAAAGCCTTAGGGTGTTGGGGGGTAGATGATAAGTGAATCCCTGCTAGAGAGAAGGGGGAGGGGGGGAGGGAAGCGATGAATGGCAGCAGGTATGCAGGCAGATGGGCCGCCGGGAGCCCCGGTGGGCCCCCGTGGAGGTGCAGGCGGCCGAGTTCAGCACAGAACCACCCAGCCCCGCGTCAGCACTTTGGGTAGAAGCTGAGAAAGTGCTGAGGCGGCAGCCACGTGGGGAGATGAGGTGAAGTGGTGAAAATTTAACCAGCCTGATGAAAGTTTAAGTGTGCATGTTAAACAGGAGAGAGGGGGAGTGATTGGGGGGAGGTAAAGTATAAAAGGCGAAAGGATGGCAGGCGGTGACTGAAAAGAATGGACAGGTTTGGGAGATTTCCTCGTTGTTTCTCCCTCATGACTCAAACAACGACTGTCTGCTTCTCAAACTTCAATATGACTCATTTTACCTGACACCTGAGGGCGTAGCGCAGCTCCTTTTTTGACCCTGGCTCGACCTCAAAAGTAACATCATATCCCTCTTCCAGTTTTTTTTTTTTGCTTCTTGATAATTAGCTGCAAGGACGCTGTTTTGTTTCAAGGACGCGGGCTGCATCCCTCTGCACTGCGGCCTGGCTGATATACATGCCAGAGCCCTGTAGCACTTTTGTTGACTGCTGTTCACATGATGCTACATAAAGCAGCCAGTTAGCTCGGTGGTCTGCGGAGACGAGTGCTGAGAGAGAGGGAGAGTCAAGCGGTGTGATTACATAAGGATGGGTAACAGGCTCACTGTGGGGATACACACTCACTAGACAGTGTTGATGGAGTCTTTCACAGGCCTGATGGGGTGTTGATTAGGATGTGCTCACACACAAGGAGCAGATGCTGAAATGGATTCTAATGTGCTTTTCTTTCTTTGTTTCTCGCTCCCTCTGCTTTATACTCATCACTTCTTTCATCCCTGCACTCGCCGCTGCTATTTCCCCTCTTTCTTTGTTGCCCCTCTGGCTGTTCTCTCTGTGTGAACACCAAATCACATCCCATTCTCTTCTTTTCGCCTCCTTCTTTCTTTGCTGCTGTCCTCCACTGATTTCCAGGTGCGGTGCGAGCCTCCAGCATCTTCCCCATCCTCAGTGTCATCCTGCTCTTCATGGGAGGCCTGTGTATAGCTGCCAGTGAGTTCTACAAGTCACGCCACAACATCATCCTCAGCGCAGGAATCTTCTTTGTGTCTGCAGGTGAGTCAGACACCCAAAACATACATAAGACAGGAGAGCAGGGATTTATCGGTTCAGTGTGCAAGCACCTGTTTCTACAAATGTGTCTTTGAATTAGAACGGTTTTTATGACTTATATTTTGACATATTAATTATTTGTTTTTTGAGTAATTTTACTCATATATTATTTTTTCCATTTTCCCAGAGACAAGGTCATGGATGCCTGTCTATGTCTCTCCATGAAGACTTAATGGATACTAAACATTGAACCGAGCCTAGTTAGGCACTATTGTTGGATGTCTGTAGAATCTTAGTTTTCATATAGACTACATCCATACCCGGTTTGTTCCACTAATGTATTATCATTACATTCAAGTTACAGAGACAAGTATTTGATTTTGAGAAAAATAAAACCCAGAGGTCATTTGCAACATTTATTGTTCTGAAGGTATTTCCAGAAGCCTCAAAGACTCTTTAAACCGTGTCTCAAGCTGTGAGCTGCAAACTACATTTCTCCCTGCTTGTAAATATAAATATTAACAAGAAAATTTGTGTGAAAATATAAAACAGTATACAGTAACATCAACATTGACAGTCTAAGTGAAATCCTTAAAGTTTGGTTCATGTTGTACAAAAGTACAAAAATGTAATTCTTAGAGACAAAAAATGTTCGTTGGAGGTGGTTGGAAGGTTTAATTATCTAATTATTTTATGAATGGTGGATTTAGCAACAAATGTCATTTCGTTAGGCCAGCTAAGATCTTCAATTCAGGTTAGCTGTTTGCCCATTGTTCCCAGTCTTTGTGCTAAGCTAACCGGCTGCTGGCTTTATCTTTATATTTACAGCACAGACATGAGGGTGGTATTAACCCTCTCATTTTACTGCCAGAAATATCAAACTATCACTTTAATCACTCGTCGTTACTCACTTATTTGTTTTTAACCTTATATGACCACATTCATTCAAAAAGCCCTGTGTGCACCGCTCTGTCTTAGGCTGTTGGTCGTCTCTTGTACTGCAGCTACAAGTCACTTCTTCTGTTCTTCCTTCTTTTGTCCTCTTTTCTTTTCTCTTGATCCTGTTGCTGGGCTAGAAGCCACCCATTGGGACTCATCTCTAAAAATATGGTGTCCCTGACACACTTTCCCTACAATCCATCTTCCCAGATATACCATGTCAAACAATTTTACGATGTGTGACTACACTAACAAGTCAAAGTATATATACATGTGGATATTTGATGGGACCTAGCACAGAACACGGCTCCAACGTGGATTATGTTATACCTTGTTCCAAATGATCTGCATCAAGTCCTGAAGCCACTTTGTTTCTCACTGTAATGGCCGAGATTAGGAGACGAAGATCAGTCATGTTGAATGGAGAGACAGGATTAGTACACTGTGTACAGTGCGTGAATCAGCGCTCTAAACATATTTGGTATGATACTGCGTATTAAGTTAAGCATACGCTCAGAATAACTCAGCCAATGAGCTCATCCTGACTGATATTTTGTTCTCTTTTCTCCCTTTCTTTGTCCTTTTCCCCATGAACCCATTACCCATAATCCACCCCTCTCCTGTGGCACCCTTCCTGCACAACCCATCAGGCCTGAGCAACATCATCGGGATCATCGTGTACATATCAGCCAACGCAGGGGACCCTTCAAAAAGCGACTCGAAGAAGAACAGCTACTCTTACGGCTGGTCCTTCTACTTCGGTGCCCTCTCCTTCATCATGGCTGAGATGGTGGGCGTCTTGGCCGTGCACATGTTCATCGACCGCCATCGGCAGCTCCGAATAGGAGCCCGCGCAGCCGACTATCTCCAAGGCTCAGCCATAACACGAATCCCCAGCTATCGCTACCGCTACAGACGTCGCTCGCGCTCCTCCTCCCGCTCCACAGACCCATCACACTCCCGCGACACCTCGCCGGTGGGCCTCAAGGGCTTCAGCGCTCTGCCATCCACAGAGATCTCCATGTACACGCTGCCCCGGGACACCCTCAAGTCCTCCGGCACGCCCACCGCCACCTACAATTCTGAGAGGGACCACAACTTCCTGCAAGTCCACAACTGCATCCCTAAGGACCTGAAAGACTCAAGCCACACCAACACAGCGAACCGACGCACTACGCCGGTATGAGGGAGTCGACACAGGCCAGGCCGGCCCGGCGGAGACCAGGAGACACGGGGACCCCTGTGGGTGCAGTACGCCCCAGGAGAAGATGGATTTCCATGTTTATAGACATTTGTTCTTTTTGTTCAGCTGCATGACTTTTCCATTACCATTGTTGAGAGAGTTTCAACAAGTCTGCTGTGTTTCTGGATTAAATGGCAGAACAGTGAGAATGGGTCAGGTTGTCTCTCTCTCTAGAGAGAGAGAGAGAGAGAGAGAGAGAGAGAGATCTGTCATTTTTTTGCGCGGGGTTTGTTTATGAGGTTTGGGGCACTGAAAGGAAGGGTGGGAGGGGGTGGGCATTTATGAGATAAAGAATTGATTTCATGATTTCATAGCCCTTTGGTTTGACAGTTTTGCCCCACAAGTTTGGTTGGAGCAACAGGTCAAGCTCCCCCCTCAGCCAGCCCACCGCTCAGATATACACCCCCTTTTATTTATTGACTCATTTGTTCATTTTTTGCATTAAAACTGTGAATTGTTACAGCTTGGGATTCAGTAAGAATTAGCCCAATCTGTAATCTCTAACAAAGGTACTATATATATGTATTACTTTTCTAAATAAATTATTACGTTAATAATCAAGAGTTACAGACTTTACCGAAGCAAAAAAGAAAAAAAAACAAGTTAACTAAACAAAGTGCTGTTGGTAAGATGAGAAAAAGACTCTTTTAGTATCTGTTCATTTGAAGGTTGAGAACAAGAGAAGGTTCCTTTAGGTAGCGGCAGTACACAGCGACTGATGCTACCAGAGGCAGACGCAGACAGTCAACAGTAGAATAATATCTATTCTTTTAATAGAACCTTCTCGTCTTTTTCTCAGTCCCTGTTCGCTTTCTTTTTTTGGGGGGGTCGTAACGGGAGAGTTGAACCCCTTAACAGAAAGAGCCAACAAAAGGGGTCAAAGTTCACAAAGCAAAGACTCCAAACACGACTTCTACAAAATAAAAAAAAGGAAGGAGCAGAGGGGAAGGAAAAGAAGAGGACGCCAAAACACAAAAATAAAAACAAGTTAAATATGAAATAGTACAAGAGAAGCTAAGTGACTCACAATTTCAGAAATTAAATGCATGCTATAAAATTACAGCAAATCTGCTCTTGAGAAACTTAAGTTTTAAAGGTTAATAATTATAAGGGGAAAAAAAAGCAAAGACGCTAAAGTTTAAAGTATTAATGTTTTCATGTGTATTTTTCTTATGTTTTCTTTTTTATTTATTTAGTTCATTTTATCTTATTGCTTTTGTGAGACAAACCAAACAATCTACATTGAACAAAACTGCTTTTTTAAATGGTTTGGTTGATTTCTTTATAAATATATAAATATATGTATGTATGTATTTTATTTTTAAAACTCACACAGCCTTAGTCATTTCTTTGTTTCTTTTGATTTTTAATGTGTTGTTCAAATTGATGAATTCAAAATGAAATCTTTAAAGGTGCCAAAACCGAATGATCCTATACTTGGATGCATCAAGTCCTGATGAATAAAATACGAACCCTAGGGGGAACAAATCACCATGTTTCAGTGCGTGTCTCTAACACACTTTCTCTTATAAATCCTTGTTTGTTCAGCACTAACATTTGTCTGTCCGTCACGTTATCATATCGTCAATGCTGTTTACTTTTTATGGACAGCAAAATAACAAATTTGGGCTTGAAAGTATACAATTTGTCTTACTGATAAGCTGTAGAATACCAATATTTTTTTGCTTTTGGTCCCTTAAAATGAAGCAATGCCCACTTGCGACACTTTATCTCAGGTATATAACCTCAGTGTGGACATGAGTTGTGATCGCTTCAACCGACAGTTATTGTTTTCTTCCATTTAAAAGATTTTAAGAGGCCCGAAAGAGTTGTGCAAACCCAGTCTTTTTATGAAAAAAGTAAATCTCAGAGTCAAACTACTCTGAACTCAATGCCCACTCACTTGTTTTTTTTTCAGAGTTTTCATCTGTTTTGTCCTTCAACTGTTTCACCTGTTCACCACTTAGATCACATGATGACGACTCCAAGACAACTGACTCCATTTGCGGATGAAGACCATGAGATACGGTAAATAGAGACGAAAAAGCTAGTAAGTTGACATTGAGTTAAATGTCCAGTGTGTAACATTTAGGAGGCTCTGTTAGCAGAAAAAATTTATATAAATTTGCAATAACCTGGATACAGGAATCATGTCTTTGTTACCTTAGAATGAGCCGTTTTTATCTACAGATGCCGCGGGTCGCCTTCCATGTAGTCCGTCATGTTTCTACAGTAGTTTACAAACCAACCACTGTAGATAGCAGCTTTAGGGTTTTTCACCACTAAACACTTCACAGCCAGTTCTCATTACCCTCAGTCGCGAGCAATGTTCAGTTAGTTACAATCTTCAACTAACTTCGCTGCTTGATGCCACTAAATCCTACACACTGGTCATTTAACTACTGTTCCCAAGTTTTAGGGTTAGAGACTAAGTTAAGGTTTTGACCCCGCCTTCAAGGTTGGCCTCAACACCAGAACTGCTATAAACGTTTTTTACCTTCGAAAGTGGTTGGACAAACTTGTGTCCCTCCCCTTTCGGTGTCCCCCACGGAATCTTATTTTGGAAAAAAAAAATAGGTCTGGCGAGAGACACAAATGTGCCATGAATTACACATATGATGTTTGTAAATTTAAAAGATAATTGTGCAAGTCAAGAAAGTCGCAGTCTGCGTGAAACCACTCAGTGAACTGCATCACAATATACATAACCAACACCAACATGGCCGCCCCTTGTAACATTATCTTACCTGTTGTGTTTTATTTCACCCTTTTATCAGCCGGTAAGTGAAAGAATGAGCAAGACCCGTTGCTCGTGTGACTAATTCCTGGTATTAAACACACACCCATCCTTCAGCACTCAAGGTGATGTTAGCTTGTGAAGAGAGAAAGTCATGATGTGACACAGGCGACCTTTGGGTGTGCAGTCTTTGTAATTCATTAAGTTAATTAAGTCATAGACTTATTAAAACTATTTACTACTAAACATCACATGTGTAATTCATGGCACAATTCAAATGCAACCAAAAGATTATTTGTCTCTTGCCGGTAACTAACGTACATTTTTTATCCAATATAAAGTCCCATGGTGGTCCACCAGAAAGGGAGGAACCCTGCCTCTCTATACAGGGAATGCATTAAACTAACAAGTTCGTACAAGGTGTCTGGTCATACAAAGGTGTTTATACCTGATACAAATGGCTACATTCAATGGTGGGGCCAAAAGCCAACTGTACAAATAGGGATAACAGTCTATTCTCAAAGATATTCATGGTGTTGCACTCAGTTCTTCACAGATGAAAAAAGAGAGACATGAGAGACAATTCAAATCCTGCCTTCTTTCTTACCTCCAGCCCATTGCTACATGAAGTTACCTTAATTTTGGAAATAGAATAAGGTAAGGAAGTTTCAGACAGTATTGAAAACTCTGACATTCACTTTGTTTGAAGAATATCCACATTTTTAAGGTTAGGGCTAGGGAAAGCATTATAAGGGTCCTCATTGGATGCCCTGGTAGTTCACCTGGTAGAGTTGGTGCCCCATGTGAGGCTCAGTCCTTGCTGCAGTGGCCTTTTGCTGTGTGTCATTCCCTCTCTTTCTCCCCCGTCACTCTTCAGCTGTCTCCATTAATTAAAGGCAATGAAATCCTCCAAAAAATAGTCAAATAGTAAGCGTCCACCCAAGAATAGTAGCACAAATGTGTGTCTGCGTGTGTGCTATTGTACTTCTAGCTTAGTGAGAACCGATTTGACAAATACATGGAATGAAGAAATGCTTTTAGAGACTGTTTTAGGCTTGAAAATGGCCAACAAAATATTGGCATCAGCCTTCATACATCAGCCTTTATACAGCCATAAAAATAAAAGCTGAGTTGTCAGACATAAAACCCTGTGTGCTCTGCTAAAACCACGGCCTCTGCCTGCTGTTGTAAAATGGTGATAACACACTGTAATCGACCACGGGAAGTCGCAATATCAGTAGTCTGACAAACACCAATGTTGACATGAGTGTGTGTGTGTGTGTGTGTGTGTGTGTGTGTGTGTGTGTGTGTGTGTGTGTGTGTAAATGAATTAATAAAGTCAGAAAACATTCATCTTTACCGCAACTTACTGCAAATTATACAAGTGTAAGACCAAGTTTAATGTTTGTACCGACACTTCATGAGCTTGCTTTATAATATAAAGCCGCTCAAACTGACAATTTATCAAATTGTTATTCCCTCAAAAGAAAATCCATGGTAGTTTTGACTCCTCCTGCACAAATACGCCTCTTTCATACACCAGTGAGACTATTTCTCTTTCTCTCTCCTCTCTCTCTCTTTGAGGTAAAAAGCCTCGGAGAAGACAGCATGTACGACACGGACAGTCATTGCATCTTTCTAGGACATTCCTGAGAAAGAAACACAGGTTTGCAATAACACCACCAGGTTTATTCTACTGGCAGTTTCCCTGTAAAGTCAACATCCAACACCTTTCTACACCACTGCCCTAAAAGCATTGCTTTCAGGGCCAAACATACTTTGTTGTGTGTGTGTGTGTGTGTGTGGAGAGAGGAGAGAGAGAGAGAGAGAGAGAGAGAGAGAGAGAGAGAGGAAGTGCTCACATGTGATGTTGAAGCAGATATACAAAGCAAATCTATTTGTGAGACAAAAGGGCTTCATTCTTTAGGACCATGGTGTGTTTTATATATGTGGTTGACTGAGTTCACAGAGAGGTTATTCCTAAAAAGACAAAATAGATAAAATAAAGGGATTTCACGACAGAAATAGAGTTCTGTTCTGATGGTATGTACAGTGTGTGCTTTCCCAAGCTCTGGACAAGTTTAGAGGCCAGCAGATTCATCAAATAAGGGAGGGGGAGAAAAAAAGTTTCTATTAGAAAAAGTGCTGAGATCCTGATTTGCCATTATCTGAGTTCACTGACACAAGCTGCTCTCCATAAATTTGAGGGGAAAATATGTCAACGTAGCAGTCTAAATGAATAGGGCTTTCTTATGTATAGCCATCTTTATTCAGAATTCATAAGCAGAAGTCATTTTACAAGCCCGGATTACATTAAAGAGAAAGTGTACGTGTGTGTATGTGTTGGGGAGGAGGATTAGATATACTGGCTTTCTCATAAAGCAGCACCTGGATTTGGGGTCTGAATGTCACAATTTTTAATATGTTTTATGAATGGATAAATCTGTTTATTCTGTCTCTCCTCGCCTCCTCTTAGGCTTAGCTTCCACATTTGTCTCTCTGTCTTCTTTTACTTCTCTCTCATAACTTTTTTGACAAGATGTCCTGGGTGAATGTGTGTGAAACAATACATCAACTGTGGTATCACAGATTGGGAGGAAACGTTAAGGACCAGGTGTGAAATATTTTTGTGGCATCTAGTGGTGAAGTTGGAACTAACTGAACACAGCTCGTGTCTGTATTTTAAGACGACCCGGAAATGAGAACGGGCTGTAAAGTTCGCAAAACTTTTAAAAATGCAAAAGACCCTATCTACAGCCAGTGTTTGTACAAACATGGTGGTTCAACATGGCGGATTCAATTTCTGCCAATAGATTGGGCATTGGAAATTAGCTGTAGCTATAACTGCTGTGATACATTGCATTGGCTAATTGTAAAGCAATTCTAGTTCTAGTTCTGAAAAGGTGTTTTTATAATATAACCTGTAACCCCACATAAAGTAACATGCCTTTGAAAGTAAAGCTGGTAAGATAGTTAGCTGGGCATGCTAATATTTGCAGATTAACACACTGTTAAAATCCATTCACTCTTGTTCTTTGGAAGAAAACTCCCTCTAAACTCTTTATATGCAGAGTATCGCTCCTATTACTGCCCCATGCACACGTTTGAAGATATTCAATCCAAGGCTTGACTGGCCTGCCGTTGCTAAGCTGGACAATCTTCAGGGGCGAGGTTTAGCGAACTTAAGTCCTGTAAAGTATTCTTTTGCTGGGAGCCCAGTTTAAGACTCACTGGTTTAGAGTGACAACTGTGAAATTGTGAAAAACAACATAAATATATCTGAAAATATGGAAGAAAGTGCAAGTGTCATCAATCTGTGTTGTGTTCCTTCCAGCTCCTGACAGGTCGATTCACTGGGGAAGTGTGGGATGAAGAAACGTACCCTCCTCTTCTTCCTCCTCCTCCTCCTCCTCCTCCTCCTCCTCCTCACAGAGGGGAGCTGGAATCCAGAGGAAGTGACACATGCCCTTGAACAGTCTAAGTTTGTTTCGCTTTTTTGGCAGGCTAATGAGTTGGACACTGCACAGTGGTGTCAGGGAGGGTCAGGGCCAGAGCTCCAGCGCTAATATCATTAGTATTAGCGCTGGAGCTCTAATGATAGCTCCACCCACAGCTGCACCATGCAGCTGGAGCAGGGCCCCATAATGCTCAGAGGCCAGATTTACATGCTCTGTTTGCTGGAGGGCACAAAGTGTCATTTATTGAAAATGGGACAAGAGGAAAGAGAGAGGACACTCATTTTACTTTCTGTTGT